AGCCCCTCAGCTCCCTGTGGCCGCGGTTTGCCGTTCCCAGCCAATGGCGCGCCACTTCCCGCAGCTCCCATTGGCTGGGAACGGCGAACCGTGGCCACAGGGAGCTGAGGGGCTCCATGCCTGCAGATGCTCCAAATAAACAAAACGTCCCGCCAGCGGCTTACCCTGATGGGCCGGGAGCCAAAGTTTTCCAACCCCTGAAGTATAAAGTCGGCTTATGAAAGGGTCATACAGTTTTTTGCTATTTTTACCTATCCATTTTGGGGGGTCGGCTTATAAACAAACGGGCTAATGAACGAGTATATATGGTACTTAACAGTAGATTTTTCTGTTCTCTACAAACTAGTGATCTGTAAGGAGATTGTTTAATCTGCACTAATGGCAGGGGAGATGCTTGCAAATTACTGACAGATGTCTCATTAATGGCATGAAGATGCTTTAAATTTGCAAAAAGAACAGGAGTACTTGTGGCACCTTAGAGACTAACAAATTTATTAGAGCATAAGCTTTCGTGGGCTACAACCCACGAAATTTGCAGGTGCCCTCAACTAAATATCTTAGGTAGTGTTCCCTGCTTGCCGGATATGCCCAGAGCCTGGCAAAGCCTGACAATCAAACTAGATCATGCCAAGTGTGTATGTGAGAACACAAAATATGCCAGAGGCATATAGGAATTGCCATGGTGGTCAGACTAGAAGTTCATTAAGTCAGGTAGCCTGTTTCTGCCATTGGTAATAACCAGATGCTTCAGGAAAAAAGGTGCAAAGAAATCCCTTTGTGTAAAATTATGGAAGAATATGCTCCTAGGAGAAGTTTCTTCTAAACTTCCATCAGTTAGTGGTTGGATTATATCCTTCATTATTTTTTAAATTCTATCAATATAACTGTGGATGCTCTTATTATTCATATGGACATCTAAGTCTTTTCTGAATCTCACTAAGCTCTTGGCCTCTTATACCTTGTGTTAAAAAGAAATGTTTCTTTAAATCAAATTTAAATTTGTTGCCCTTAATTTAGCTGACGTCCCTTTGTTCTCTTATCAAAATAAGGCAAATAGGAGCATCCAAATTACTGTCCTTATCCCCCACATTATTTTCCACGCCTCTGATTTATCTCCTTTCTAAACCATGACATTGATAATTTCCGATGTCCAGATCTGGGACCCCATTTCTCCCCCCACCTTTGCTATATCCTTTCTGGGATGGAGTGCCCAGAACAGAACACATTATTTCAGGCAAAAACAGACCATCAATTTCTGTAATGGTGTATTTTCAGTATTATTATTGATCACACTTTATATACATTGTAACATATTTTTATTTGCTTTATTTTTACTGCTTCTGTGCACAAAGTGCATGTTTTTACTGTTTTAATTACAAATCTTTAGTTGCAACCACCCAGCCCTTCTCCATCCCTAAATGGGTTCTGGCCAGGTGGGGCAGGAGTTTGGGGGATGGGAGGGCTCCTGGGACAGAAACGGTTGAAAAGGACTGCACTAATACACGAAAGGCTTGTCTGCACATACATCACTGCTGTAGCACTTTAGTGAAGATGCTACTATGCTGATGGGAGAGCTTCTCCTGTTGGCAAAATTAATCCATCTCTGTGAGAGGCAGTAGCTAGGCTGATGGGAGAAACTCTCCCTTTGATAGGTTTCAGAGTAGCAGCCGTGTTAATCTGTATCCGCAAAAAGAACAGGAGTACTTGTGGCACTTTAGAGACTAACAAATTTATTTGAGCATAAGCTTTTGTGGGCTACATCCCACTTCTTTGGATGCATAGAATGGAACATATATTGAGGAGATATATATATTTGATATTTGCAGTCTATGCTGGGGGTGAGGTCGGTATAACTGTCACTTGTGGGTGTGGATGTCTCACACCCCTGAGTGACGTACTTAGACCGCTGTAAGTTTGTAGTGTGGATGGATGCCCTTTAAAAAAAGGTGTTCTGCGAAGTTTTGCTGTTTACTGCACTGTTTCATGGATACTCTTGAACACGTAGGAAACATTTAGTTGTATAGATGCGCACTACAATAAGATTATCCATAGGAGAGCAGCAAAAATGATAAAAGGTTTAGAAAACCTGACCTATGAGGAAAGGTTAAAAAAAATTGGGCATGTTTAGTCTTGAGAAAGAAAAGCCGGTAAGTCTTCACATAAGTTAAGGGCTGTTACAAAGCGGACGGTAATCAATTGTTCTCCATGTCTGCTGAAAGTGGGACAAGAAGTAATGGGTTTAATCTGCAGCAAGAGAGACGTAAGCTAGACATTAGAAACTACTTTTTAATTATAAGAGTAGTTAAACTCTGGAATATCCTTCCGAGGGAGGTTGTGGAGTCCCCATCATTGGAAGTTTTTAAGAACAGGTTGAACAAACACTTGTCAAGGATGGTCTAGGTTTACTTGGCCCTGCCTCAGTGCAAGAGACTGGACTTGATGACTTCTTGAGTCCCTTCCAGCCCTACATTTCTACAGCTCTATAAAAGGAAAATGCAAAATGATGCAAGCGCCTTTGTTTCTTTTTGTTGTTGTTTAGGTTTGAGTCAATTCAGCAAGAGCTAAGCAAAGCAACTGTGCAGAACAAGGAGTTGCAGAGAGAGATGGAGCGGTTACAGTCAGAAGTGACGCGGTTCAAAACAATGCAGCTGAAGGCAGTGAAGGATGCAGAGAAGTACAAGGAAGAGAGAGACTCTGTTTTCAATGAGTATCGCCTCATAATGAGTGAGAGAGACCAAGTGATCAAAGAGGTGGATAAGCTTCAAACTGAGCTAGAGCTTGCAGAGTCCAAACTGAAAAACACTTCCTCAGAGAAAAGAGTGGCTAGTGAAGAGATGGAAGCTTTAAGACAGGTACCAAGGGACCATTTTATTGTGGGTGGGAGGATAAAGAGGTTTTACCAGTGCCTTCTTGCAGCTGTGCAAAAAAAATGTGTGCCTGATAGATGGGAAACGTGGCTTCATTGTGAAAAGGAAATTCCCTGCTGACGTTCTCCTGGCGACACTCTTTATACAGTCGAGTACCTGTCAGCTGCGATCTGCTATGCACTTGACTTGTTCTGTTCAGTTCACGTCAAATTCTTCATTTTAAGAAACCAACCTTTTGTATCCAGCAAGTGAGGCACTGTATAACAATAGATAGAACTCAGATATATAATTTTTTTTCTTTCATTTTTAACTGGTAGCTAAGAGAGAGACATCTGGGTATTATCTATTAAGAATAAGACCTAGCATTATAAAATAGACTCTCAGTCTCATTTTAACATCTACTCAAAGACTACAATTATGCCCCCTGTTCTTTGTCATTTAGCCTCTCAAAATTAGAGGACATTTGGCACTGCGATTTACAAAAATGCAGGCACTGCCTTATAAATCATATTAATCCAAAAGCGGTATTACTTCAGCAATATATTCTTAAAATGTTTAAAACACGAGTGCTGTTAGTAGGATTTACATATGCAGCTTGCTGCTAAATAGTAAAATAGTATTCACTTGGTCATTCAGTTTTCAAATATTTTGCTTAGGTATGATTCACATATGACCAACTATTTTTCTATTACCCATAAATCTTTTTTTTTCTGCTTTTCTTTCACACCCTTGTCATTGATCACAAATAATCCTTTATATAAAATTATCTAACTGCAGCACTTCTGAAAACCAGATCTCATTTATTTAGGTACATAAATATGGGTTAGGCTATGTAGCCAACACTCAAGCAA